AAAAAAAGATATTGCCTTGAAATATTTCCAATGTTAACTTTACATATTGCGTCAATTGTATATTGGGAATCATCATCATACCTTTGTTCTGCACGAGCAATTTAACTGTGAATCAAACTAGAAATCACACCTTTTCTTACTCAAAACCCAACTAATTTCATATACCTTAGTTTAAACCCAGAATCCAATCGGTTTGGACCGCAAATCATACCTAAAAACATAATCAAAACTCAACTAAATCCTTCCCTAAAAAAGCCCCAAAAGTTGCATAACCAAATCAACCCAAAACCTAGTGTATTTTTTTTTTTTTCAAGTCAATGGCCATGCGGGTACTATACAAATTTTAAAATCTCATTTCAAGAAAAGAATTGGGATATGTTTTTTGTTGTTGAGTTCCAGACAAGAAATCAATGTCACCACCAAAACATAAGAAGAAAAGGTGACAGAATGCAAATTTGTGTTTGATTTTGTTCTAAACCATAGATTTGTATTTGGATTTTTATTCTAGATTTGTGTTTGACAAAGATAGAGTGAGAAAGAGGAGAGAAGCTCAACTAAAAGAGAGAAATTGAGTTGTGTGTTAATGGTTACGTTTCATACATACTGGGGCATTATTATCTTTTCAATGATTACCAAAATCAGTTTTATTTAATCATAAAAAAAAAAAAAGAAAAAAAAGAAAAGGTGACAGAATGCATCAATGTCACCACCAAAACATAAGAAGAAAAGGTGACAGAATGCAAATTTGTGTTTGATTTTGTTCTAAACCATAGATTTGTATTTGGATTTTTATTCTAGATTTGTGTTTGACAAAGATAGAGTGAGAAAGAGGAGAGAAGCTCAACTAAAAGAGAGAAATTGAGTTGTGTGTTAATGGTTACGTTTCATGCTTTCATACATACTGGGGCATTATTATCTTTTCAATGATTACCAAAATCAGTTTTATTGAGGGTGCAAAGTATAATATTTAAAAACTTGGTTGTAAAGTAAAAACTAAATAAATCAAATCATAGGATGTTTAAAGTAATTTACCATTTAAAAATAAAAAAAATAAAGATTGAAGTTGAAATATCAATAATTATAAAGAAAAATATAAATTTTGAATGATCATGAAAAATTTCAAAAGAATAAGAGAAAAAAAAGGGGGGGAAAACCACCGTCGAATATATATTGTGCCACCTTTGCTGCCATATGTCACCTATTAGGAAGAGAACATTATGAAGGTTCCAACAACAGGGTGGAAGAGAATTATTGGTTGTCAAGAGGTGCAGCAGTGGCAACAATTTTTTCATTAAAATATTATTTTATATTCATTAAAAGATTAATTTGCTCCCAATCAAGCTCTTAATAACAAAAAAAAATAATAATAATGAAAAGATGAAAAATCCTTTGAATGCAAACTTTAAAAATTGATTATAAGAGTAATTGAGTTGTTTTACTATGCATAAAAAAGTGCAATGACTAAAAAAACTCTAGATAATAATTCTAAAATTTTTACTTTTAAAGGTAAGTGAGTCATTTCAACATGTTTTAAAAATTTAAAAAGATAATTTAACCCCGATCAATTTGATAATGATTAATAGGCATTGTGAAAAGACTAAATATTCCTAACATTAAGGCCATTGATTTTTTTGGTAAGAGCAAAATGGTAATTACATTGTCATATTAAATGGTAATTTGAGTATATGTGTACAATGATTTTCGCAGTCCAGCTTTTATTAGGCATTTGACCTCTTAGCATGCCTATCATATTGTTCATATTGTTCAAAAAGGAGGGTTCGGGTGGGCAGTAGAGTGAGATAATAAACCTCTTATTCGCATATAACATTTTTAACATTTTGTAAAGGCTTTCTTAGGATTAAGCACATTTGTCAAGTGGTCTTCGTCTTAATACAATCACCAGATAATTGCTTGTGCTACATTGTAAGTTGAATCAATTTTTTAACATAAAAAAATATTTTTATGTTGTTAACATGTTTTCTTACAAAAGTATTTAATTATATAAAGATTGACCTAATTTGACATAATCAACTTTACACATCTAAAGATAATCTAAATGACCCATAAAAATATAATTTGACTAAAAACATCAAAACAAAAAATACTATTGCGATAACATATTGGATATGCCTAGATTTATTCTGATCAACTTAGATATACTGGAATCAACTCAGGTAACCTTATAGAAAGCAAATATTGAAGGTTGAGATTGAAAAAAAAATTCAATTAGAAAAATAAGTTGAGTAAACCTAGGTTAACCTATCAAACCTTTGTTATGAGATCAAGATAACTGCATAGAAATAAAATTGAATCAAATTATAATGCTCGATTCATAATCAATTCAATGTTAAAGAATGAAATTAAGAAAACAATAAATTAAAGAAAAAACCACTCAAATCAACCAACCAAACTTGTGACCTGATTTATGAGGTTAAAATCCCTTCATAGAAAGAAAAAAGATATAAATTATGAAGCATAATTCTTAAACAATCTAATATTGAATAATGAATTTGAAAAAAGAAAAAGAATAATTTAGGTCATAAGACTGTGATAACCCTATAGAAAGTAGAATAAATAAATTATAAAGCACAATTCTCAATCAACCTAATATTAAAGGATTAAATTGAAAAACAAAATAAATTAAAAAAATTCCAAGTCAACTAAAGTTAACTTGCCAAATCTAGATCATGAGAGATAACTCCATAAAAATAAAATTAAATAAAAATTATGAAGTCAAATTCCCAATCAACAAAATATTAAAGGATAAAATTGAAAACAAATCAATTAAAAAAGGAAAAAAAACCTAGGTCAACCTGACATATCAACAAAACTCGCGACTCGAGTTATAAGATGGTGATAATCTTATAAAAAAAATAAAAAATATATATGAGTCAAATTCTTGATTAACCCAATGTTGAAGGATGGAGCTGAGTAAAAAATAATCATAGTCTATCTTGGTTAACTTGTCAATCTCGAGTCATAATATTGGTATAACTTTATAAAAATTAAATCAAGATAAATTATAAAGTCCAATACTTATTAAACTCAACATTAAAAGATTAAATTGTAAAAAAAAAAACCCTTGAGGACCACAATGCAAAAGGCCAAAGCATTTCATTGTTCATTACTACAATGAAATGCCAAGGCCTTTTAGTATATGTTAATTAGATAATTGTTCATGCTATGCTATGGGTTTGACTAAGTTTTTTATTGAAAAAAAATATTAATTATTGTTAACATATTTTTTAGAAAAAAAAAATTAAATTTATATGGAGGTTGACTTGATGTGACATATTCAACTTTACAGGTCCAAATACAACTTAAATAACTGATAAAAATATAATTTGACTAAAAATTCAACATGATATATTTTTTAAAAAATATTGAGACGATAATATATTGAATGTACTTGGATTTATTCGGTTCAACTCAGGTTAACCTATCAAATCTCTAACTCAAGTCATGAGACCTTGATAACCTTATAGAAAATAAATAAATAAAATCATGAAACTCAATTCTCAATCAACTCAATATTGAAGGATGAAATTGAAAATAAATTTAATTTATAATCATAAAATACTGAATGATAAAATTTAGAAAAAAAAACATAAAAAAATAAAAAGATAATAGGTAAAAATTGATACGAAAATAAATCACAATGAAATATTGAGTATGAATGACAATTATTACCTTGTGTATTGATTTCTTGATATCCAAACTCTACATGTTATCCACCGGATAAAAAATATAAATATTTATAAACTATGAATTGAATCTCCAACATTGACATGAGTATCAATTATGTATTTGGCAAGGTAACCATAAAGAAACTATTAACCCGTTTAGGTCGATATTTATCGAGTTCAGATTAAATTGTTATTTCTAATATCAAAAGATAAAATTATTTATCCATATGAATATTTATTATCTAGCAATTATTTAGTATTAAATAAAAAATAAATTAACTAATATATGAATTTGAAGGGTGCATATCAAATTATGAAACTATAAAATAATAAATATTATATTATAAGTGTTTTATGTCAATATCAATATCAAAATGTGTATATATCACATTGTATCAAAACAATAATATATATATATATATATATATATATATGGCTTAGATTTGGGCGAGTTTAAAATATGATTTGATAATATTCATATCATATTAATTACTCATTGAGTAAGGTAACCATTTAAAAAACACTAAAAAGTTTGGGCAGGTTAAGGCAATGCTGTTGAGTTCAGATTAAATTGTAATTTATAATATTAAGGAATGAAATTCAAAATAAAATAGAATTAGAAAATTATTAAAAATTAAATAAATAACAATTAAAAGAATAAAGATTACATCTAAAATAAAACTAAATGAAATTAAATAATGAAAGATAAAATTGAAAAAAAATAACCTACAAAAGGTAAAAAAAATAAAATAGATAAAAAAATCAAAAGAATAAGGACTATATTTAAAATGAATACTAAATAAAATCAAATGATATGGATGAAATTGAAAAAAAAAAAAACTTACAAAAGATTAATAAAATAAATGCAAATCAAAAAAATAAAGACAACGCTCTATAAACAAAACAAATGAAATGAAGCTTATGTACTTTCCTTAAGATATAAGAGAAAAAGGAAAGGAGGGGAAAGAAATCCACTAGAGCTATACCATTCATTTTTCTTCGTTATAAGTGTCATCATTTAAAAGATCTTAATACACTACTTCAAATATCATTGTTAAAGATAGTATTTAATTACAGTAAAAGCACGCACCATCTAAAAAGTTGGAGCTTTTTTTTTTTGTTAATATGCGTATTGCAAGTGCTAACAATTTTTCTTTTTAGATATATTTATTATATATCAAAAGAGCTAATCCCTAACTTTAATTGAAAATTACATTACAGGAAAGTGACAAAAACACCCTGAACTCAAACAAAAGGAAAACAAAATTGCAAGGATATCTAAATAATTACATTGTTCAAAAAATTGCAAGGATATTTAAAAAAATATTGAAAAACCATAAATGCTCCTTGCCCTGGAGGTTATATATTTTTTTTAAAGGGTAGAGTAGCAATTTAATTGCTCAATAAGAACATGAAGATATCAATTCACCCCTCAGACAATAACCCCGTGAAAAGATCATTTTATCCTCCAAAACTCAGCCCTTTCTTTACAAATGTGGAGGGCAAAATCATCAATGAATTGCAGCACTCCACAGTGCACCGAGTCTTGCTTCACCGTAGGGTTTATATATATATAATTATCGTATTGAGTGGAGATGAAACATGCTGTAATTCTCTTCGGCAGGCCTCCATGTGGAGACTGTCGGTGGCACGCACAACAGCAAATGAGGAACCTTAGTTAGCGGGCAGGAGTCTAGGATCATGCTTCTGTCATGTGTAGGCTTTTTGTTATGGATGAATCCTTTTATGCAGTTGACTTGCAATGAAAATAGTCTTTCTTTGTCCTGTGTAATCGTGACCTACTAGTTGCCAATTTTATAGCGTACAGGCGAGTGAAGATGGGCTTCCACACGTTCCAGTGTTAGGCATTCGCATCCCCTTCTCCATCTGCAATATTTCCGATCTCTCTCCCTGCGTGTTTGTAGACGCACAGAGAGTGCATCGTGTTGACTATGGTTTATTAGATTGTAGGCATGGAAAAGCTGATATATCTCTTGACTGTAGATAGATAGATCACAGATACATTTCATGATGATATACAAGTTAAGAAATGTCAGTGATGAAATCTTAATTAAATGACAGTGAGCAAACTATGCCTTTGGACATCGCATTATGACCATGTCTGCAGCAGCTCCCCTTCTTTTGCTTGCAATTGGGCATGCCTCCAGGCAAGGTTCCTTGAGAGTGCCGTCATCTTCAGGTAGCGGAGGAAGGACCCCAAATTTGAACTGTAACATTAGAATCACAAGATAAAAATGGCTGTGGAAAATCATATTTGCAAGTAAATAACCAAACACCATTTAGAAGTTGATGGGAAGCATACAGCATACAGGAACTATTGCAAATGGAGCATTGTTAAATCCTTTCTCGAATTCGATTACAGAATTCTGATGGAAAAGGTGTGATTCCCACTTGCCTATCTTGATGTTCTGCCTATCTACATCTAAAACCAGCAATTGACGAGTGCTTAAAGGAGTCAGTTTCTATGATACCTGACAGCTATAATCGTTGAAATTTGGTTCCATCAGTAAAGGAATCCCCATGTAATCCTTGAAAAAGGTCTGAAGAACCAAATCACAAGAAGTAAGAAATGTTCACAGAATAGGTACTGTGAAAATGCTTAGAAACTGCCAGAAATTTAACAGTGTAGAACATATACCTGAGTTGGAAGCTTGCAAGTGTTGACACAAATCCCTACACATTTGCTTTCTTCTAAATACTTGCATCTTTCTACAAAAACCTGCAGGAACCAATAGCGGGCTCAGGATTGCCTATATTCATAGCTGAATTTCGGCTTCACTTGAGCACACATACACTAGTTAGACTGGGAAATTGGGAGACTTACCCCACTCTCCCACGAGGATCCATCAGGAAGATCAACAGAATTAACTTTGCATATGCCCATGAGCCACTGACAAGTGATTACAGTCACTCTTGCTTCAGAAATTAAACAACAAAGACGGTTATAACTTTGAATTAACAATCCATTCAACAAGCATCAGAAGGAAAAGGAAACAAAATGCATGAAAAGCAGAAATGGAAAGTAACTCCCAACTCACCAACCATTATAGCAGCTAGTTTTCCTCCTCCTATAGGTGATACCAGCGATTTATACAGATGCAGTAAAAATGGAGGAAACAAGGACCTCAGTATTCTAACCTGCCCTGCCCAATATTTACTTAGTCTGACTGTTAAGAAAAATGAGTGATAAATTGAAGAAGAAGAAGAAGAAAACAAACAGCTGCATCTGTAGTATCAGAAGGGGTCCTCCTCAACATGAGACGACTAGCTACTTCAATCAATCCATCATATCCTGCTTTCTCTGAATCCCATCCAACTTCCTGTTAAATCCCTTGAAGAAAATAATTAACAATCTATTAACAATTAATTTATTATAATCTACAGGTTGAAATAAAGCTGACCTTCACCATTTTGTTACGAAAGAGAGCGAGAAACCAATCATCATAGAATTGATACCTGTACTCCTCCGACCTTGGAAAAGTACTATCTTCTGCTTTTACCTACAGTCACGTCAGACCGCCCGTTGTAATTAATTATCAAACTGAAATTGATATTTTTTTAGAAAAACAATTGCAAGGAGCGAACCGGAGACTCTGTCCTTTGAGAGGAGCATGAGACATGAAGATTTGTGCGTTTGGGAAGACAGTAGACGTGAGGGCGTGAAGGAAATGATGGGATGTAGAGAGGACGAAGAAGAGCCACTGCCTTCATCCTTCGTTTCTTTCTTTCTTTTTTAACCTCTACCTCGTCATATCACACAAGCTAGAAAAAATAATAATAATAATAATATATCGCAAACTTTAGGACAAAAACGGCGCGTTTTTCGTTTTACAAGTCAAAAACTAGAAGCGTTGGGGTTGTTCAGTTAAAAAAAACACCCTACTAGGTCTCGGATTAGTTTTTTTTATATAAAGAAATTATATATATACATATTTTTTAATGTATTTTTGTAATTTAAAATATTTAAGTGTAAATAAAAAATTATATATATATAATTAAATAAATCAAGAATTATATATGCTAATATATAAATAAAAAGTCATTAAAAATATCTAAAAATAAAACTCAAACAAACAACAAATGAATATAGATTAAGATATTTAATCTCAAAAAATAGGATATTTACACTATTATATTTGCTAAATTTTGTTTATTGCAATAGTTTTTTTATTCAATAGACAATAATAAAAATAGACAAATATATTAAATTGATTAAATAAAATAAGAAAAAAAAATATTATGCAAGACTACACAAATTAGAAATATTATCTAAAAATAAATATTTTTTATTTTTTAAAAATATAGTCTATCTATACAAAACATAAAAAAATATAAATAAATCAGAAAAACCTCTTCAAAAATTAAATGCTTAACAAAAAAAAACCATAATTTAAAAAAGGCTTTCTAAAATAAAATAAAATAGAGAAGGGGTTAATATAAATAATTTAAAAAACATTTAAATAAGCTTTAATTGAAAAAAAATTAAAAAAAAAGGTGAGGCTAGCTTGCTTAGCCCATTTTGCTAGGCCCTGTATAAATGGGCCTTTATTTTTTTTGCTGAAAAAAAGACAATGCATCGTCTAACTTTACCCAAATTCCTACAACTATGGTGGCGGGAAAATCAAGGCTTAAGTGTTTTTTTTTCAAAGACCATTCTTCAATCTATTTGACTAAAAATACCTTAAAAACTATGATAAATCTATTTATAGTTGAAAAAAACAAAAAATCATCTTAAAAATAAAAAATAAAACCAAAAATTAATCCAAGTTCATATTTTTTTTCATGAACTTTAAAGGTAAAAAACACCTAATATAAACTTTCCTCGTCAAAAGTAACCATTTAACATAAATATCGTCTATTTTGATGGCCTAAATCGGTGTCAATAACATGAGATCATGCTCAACAAAAAACCCACGCCTTTTACTTTTATACTTAATTTTCTTTTCTTTTTTAGTTTTCTTCTTTCCTTTTGGTTTTTCTTTTCCAATAAGAAAACTAACAAACTTGTTCATTTCTTAAAGTTTCATAGCATTTTAAAACTCAAAAAACTAAAAAAATATATCCAAATTGTATTTTTTTTTATTTGAAGAAAACTAACAATATAAATCATGTTCAACTTAACTTGTTTTTCAATATATTCTTTACATTCTTCTTTTCTTCTAATTGACATAAACACATCTTGCCAACTAGGACTTAATTATGTGATTATAAATCTTAATTTTGATAAATAGAAACTGATTTAAAAATTCAACCTAATCCATTAACATATAAGGTAAAAAATAAAAAAGAAAACTCAAAGGTTCAATGTTATACAATAACTTGCTTTGAATTAGAGCATGATCTTAGCATTATGCCTCCAATATCTTCCACAATTTAGGCATATTGTGTTTGATGCAGTTTAGGTATATTGTGTTTGATGTAAATTATCTTGTTTTTGTCTTAATTAAGACGATTTTCCAACTTAAGATTGAAGTTTTAAGTTAACTGGTTTGAACTATGAATTTAATCCTAGATCTACTTACGTAGTTCTAAATTTATATTACAGAGTTATACGAGTATCAATATGATTAAATTAACTTCTACATAAATAATAGTTCAACTGAAAAAGTAACCAAATAATTAAAACACTTTGAATGATTCAAGCTTTAATTACATCCATGAAATGAATATTTACATTCATAGAGTGATTCATATTCTAATAACATCCATAACTTAGGATATGAAACGACTTTATATTTATAGAGTTATTCATACTCTAATTACATCCATGAAATAGAATTCCTAGATCATGAAACATCTTTTTAGTATTTTTGTTTATGGAATTGAAATTGCAAGCTTACTAATTACAAGGAAAATTGCAAGCCTACTTGATAATGTTTGTAGAGTTATCGCCTACTGTTCTATCGCTTACACTTTATTGCCTACTAGTTTATGGTTTGAATGGTTATGAGAACTTGATAAAATCACAATACAGTGATTTTATTTTTCTGTTGAATTGTTGAGTTATGTTCTTCTTAGTTGTCTTGCCTTCTTCTTTAAATAAAGAAGTTTGAGATAACTTTCAGTAACTATCCACTCATATTATTCAACATAACTTTTGGTAACTACCCAATCACATTATTCTTAGTTTACAAGATAAAAAAAATAACAAATTGTTTGGTTGATGATATTTTATAGTTACTGTTGATGATATTGGTGGTGGTAGTGGTGCTACTGCTACTGCTGTTATTGTTGAGTTTTTCTAGTGATTAATGGTGGGTGGAGAATGGTGGAGAAAATCGAAGGATGGAAAAAAATTGAGAGAATATATTTATACATAGTATACTTGTAATTAAATAAAAAGAGAAAGGTCATTTTTATCAAAAACATTCATTAAAGATGAAAAAAATTTGGAGAAATGTGTTTTCTAAGATAGAAGAATAATTTTGGAAGACATTTTTTTCCAACTTCAAGCTTGTGGTGGAAAATAAAAAAAAATTCTTCTTTTCTGTATCCAATTTATAAAAACACACTCTTTTTTACATGTATATTTCCCTTTTTTTTTCTTTTTGTAAAAATGGAGTAATAATCCATTATAGGACAACGATTAGCATTTAAACAAATCAATTTTGTGATTGTATAGTTCTAAGAAAATGCATATAGATCCCTAAAATTTTGATAACATGGCGTAAGTCATCATTCCATCAAAATCTATTAGCAACTGTTGTTAAAAGATTAAAGAGACACGTCATGATTCTAAAACAAAATCTTTAGTCATGTGACATGTTTAAAAAACATTTCTTACTATATTAGACACTAATATATTTTTTAGCCTAAACCTAGATTTTTAATTAACATTTAATAAAATATTTGAGATAAATTAACTATAGCAGTTGACACGACTAAAATATTGATGTCTTCTCCCAAGTGCAGGAGTGTCGAAGTAATAAATAACCCGGCAAGACCGGGGTCGAACCACAAGGAGGTTAATTGTA